TCAGTCTTTAGCGTTTAGACGGTTCTTAGATTGTCTTTTGCTTTTGGGATGATTTTGACTAGGCGTCGCATCGTCCGAATATTTTTCCACTTATTTTTGCGAGAGTTTTCTGTATAGAAAGCGTTTTCTTGATGCGAGGAAAAATGTTCGGCGGAAGAAGAAAGATGAGTTTCCTTTGAAGGATTGGGATGATCGACAATTCAGGTCGATTAAAGACCATGGTGGATTGGTGATGACTTGGAGTATGTCTGATTTACGAAAATTTCTAGGAGCGAGTCGGTTTTAAGACGACGTCAGCGTCTCTAGCTCCTTCTTTCTTTTAGGAAATGAGTACGCTCGAATGCGTGGTGATCGTTTCTCGGTTGTACGAGAGATTGGATCGGTTTGCGAGTTATGCCTGAACGGTTAGAGAACAACAGATCGAGATAGACAAAAATTGCTTACGACATAGCATGCTAGAATATCCTGCTAAATTCTAAGTTCCCTAGGTTTTACGGCAGTTTACAAGTCGTTTTCATTCCTTTCCTACGAGAAATTAGAAGTCTAATAAAATTTTCAATCGGTCATACCTTACTTTCATTTTCAAATCGGTCATACCTTAGTTTCATTGTAGGTAAGTAATTGAAAAGCAGTAAATACTATAAATAAATTAAGGGTTGGTTTGTAAACTTATGAGAATAAATAGTTAGATCTAGGGTTTCATGTTATAGTATTGTTAAGTAGAGGCCAAGGGTGTGTGGTAAATCGTCCTAGAACTCAAATACTAAAGCAAGATATCCAGTTATCGCTGCGAGTCTAATCAAATAACTAAGTCTTTGGTCCAGCTTTTGACACACGAGAAAAGAACGAGTATCGATTGATACTATGCTAAGAGTGTTGATTGATACTACCTTAGACAATAATTATCGTTCTAATCATATGTTCACTAAGTTAATTTAGATCAGCTTTCGACATGCGTCTAACAACCTAGTTCAACAAAATTATTATTAGGTATAGATCCTACTAAGTTCTATGTTCTAGTTAGCTACTGTAGAACACAAGCATCGAGATCAATCTGATGAAGGATCCTTATGGGTTCATGCTAGCAGTTCTATAATTAGCAATACATATATAAACCTTAATAAAAACCTAGCTCTAACAAAGAATCCTACTCAGACATAATTAAACAAAACATAATAGATATCTGAATAGAATGCATAAAAAATGGAGTCGAGAACAAATCTTTGATGATCTTCTCTCCAAGACTACTAAAAGCTTCTAAATATGGTGGAATATTATATGTGTGGTAAAAAGCTGGTGTGATGCACAAACAATGGATAAGCACATAAATACTAGGTATAAAGTCAGGAAAGGGTAGTCTTGTAGTTATATGGGAATTATGGGCTTCAAGTCGGCCCGATCTCTTGTGTCGCTGTCGGTCGATACCAACAGGGTGTTGTCAATCCACAGAATTCTCAAGTTCCTGACTCTAGCTTCTTATTCTTTAGAAGTTACGAGTTTCTTCATCATTATGTTCCATAGTCTCCACATTTCTGCAAAACGTACCTAGACCTGAAAACATTCTGAAACATAATCCACACACTATAATATAAGTGAAAAGCGGTAAAATCCATAGTATATCACATGATATCTGAAATATTTTGAAAGAAAACTATTTCACATATCACAAAATCCCTAGAAATTATCTAAACCCACGTTGATCAACTATCAAAACTGTTGGAGTGATCAATCAAAACTATGTAATAGCTTGGTACAAATTAGCTTACTAATGTTGTATTAAACTTTTAGTTTTTACTTCGATGAATGAAGATGTTGACAAAAAATAGACTTTGGTATAATTTATTATCTTACTGAATTTTATCGGAATATATGAAATAAGTTAAACCTATCAATCATTTACATATGCTAAGATAGTTCATATATTCTAGAATATATTAGAGGTGTTATAGTTTTTTTTTTGTTATCTCAACTCCTTTTAGTTAATTAGGTAGGTTTTAATTATATTTTTTAATAATTTATATATTTTGGTCAGTTTCATTAGTTTTTTTTATATATTTTTGGGTGATTTCATAGGATGATTATAACTGGATCTTAAACCCAATCTGGAAGGAACTAAACCGAACCCAATCCAAAAATTAATAAAACCCGAACTGTGCATAGTACTGAGAACTAACCCAATTGACCACTGCAGGAATGTAACCAAACCCAGTCCAAAAATTAATAAAATTCGAACGGGACTTATAAGCATAACACCAAAATTCGAATCAACCCAACTGAACCTGAATGGGACATCGAATGCTCATCCATAATGGTAATTTATCATTTTTTATTTTGGAAAAATTCATCTTTATCCAGATGCACCCGTTTTCATCTTCATTTGGATGAATCATTTTGATGAGTCTGATTTAAGCTTTAAACTTTGAAACTTATCCAAATTGGCCATTTAGATGATGATCATCTTAATTCAATTTGAACATCAATTCGCATCTTCATTCATATGATCCATTTTAATGGACATTTTAGGGGGGCAAAAAAAGTAAACTCAGATTTCTTATATATATATATATATATATATATATATATATATATTATTATTATTTTTTTGCTAACTTTATTCGTTCTTCTCTTGGGTCTAAATCTTATACTAATTGATAAAAACTTATTAATAACTACCAGTACATAAAAGAATACAACAGATCAAGAACTCAACTCAAGGGAAGAGAGCAAGCAAAGAGAGATAACCTAGCACAACTGGAGTACGAATCAAGTATAGAAAGAGAACAATCTCTGGCAGGAAAGAAGTGATATGGTCTCTGCTCAAGCGATGGATGACAGCATTGTTCTGAGAGATAAGAAGTGGAGATAATAGAAATCCACTCTCTTCACACTAAAGTAAATTTTAGCTTAAATTGATGGGCTGGCGAAGCTACTGTCGATCCTGAAGACCACAGAGGGATGCTGAATGGACGCCTAATGGCGGGTGAGAGGCCATATCGAAGAAGTATTATGACACAAAACAGCAAATGAACAACTACATTCAAAAAGAGATGGCCATGCTTCTCGATACCGGATAAGCATATACTATATTCAGCACTCACATTCAACTTATTCTGTAATTTTTGTATTCTAGTTCCCTATAATCCAACTTCTTTATATGAAAACATTCTTGATATCCTCATAAACGGTACCCTGAACAAGATAAACGAAATCAGTTTAACTGGAATGTAATGTGAATGGAATTTGGTCAAACTAATAAAAACATAATTTGTCTTTCCAAATTACGATAAACAGTTAGTTTTAAAGAACAATTTAAACTCCATTTATTATGTCCTTTGTTTTCTTTGATCTATTTACGATGTTAGACCTTCTACCTGTCCAACTTGACCGATCCAAAGCAGCATCTTTTCAATATATGACTACAACTTGACCAAGATCAGCTTCATACAAATCATTACTCCCTCTGTTTTTAAATAAGTATCATTTTGACTATTTGCACATAAATTAAGAAAATTGTATAATATACTAATATATCCCTATTTAAGGTATGTTTAATTAAATGAAAATAATTTAAATAAAATACTATTGGTTATTCAAAAGGGTAAAAAATAGATTTAATGTACAAAATTACATTGGGATTGTAGAATGACACTTTTTGAAACAAAATTAAAATGCTAAAGTGACACTTATTTAGAAACAGAGGGAGTAATTTTTAACCATATTAGTTTGGAAAGTTTCATATTTCCGTTTCGGAAATCAGTCATAATATATTTGACGATATCTAAAGATTAACTCTAAAGTTCAATATTTGAAAATTGCTTTTTGCTGTCTTAAACGGTTTGAGATGTTAAAAAGCGAGAAATAATATTAAAAATTTGCAGAATTATAAACATATATTTGAAATTAGAATTTTCTATAAGAAGTTAGCAATTATTCAGCCATACTGGATACAATATCGGACTTATTAATTTTCTTATAAAACAAAAAAAAAAATACATTTTAGTCAGTTAATTATATCGAGATTCATAACGCATCTTAATATAAAAAATACAGTAACTTTTTAAATGAAATATTATGATAAAGACCATTGGATTTAGATGTTTATTATAAAAATAAATATTTTATGTGTCATTAAAAAGGTTAACATGGTTTTAAATTATGATAAAACGGTTAAAATGATTGTTTTTTTAATCAGTCGTTAAAATGAATGTATAAGAAAAAATATGGATAAAAGGAGCCTCTTAGATTTGCATGCTGAGATGGAAGGTGTAATAAACAGTTTTATGTTTGAGAGATAGGAGGATAACTTCGATACGATTCGAGGCGGACTGTTCAGATCTAATGGATATGATAAAAAATTCGGAGGATTTGGCCGGCTTTCATGACATAGATCGAAGTGTTCCAGAGATTACATGAGGAGTTCGAGGAAGTGAGTTTGTCTCATATTCCTCGTAGTAGAAATGGTCGAACAGACGCGCTAACAAAATAAGCAAGGACCAAAGACTATACTTTTTCCCATATAGATCAGATTCGGCTAAACATAGGTGCTCCTCAGAGAATCTGCTGGACGACCAGTACTTGATTAAGCTTCGATGGGCAGTTGAAAAAAAGAAAAGAAAATATGGATATTTTTGAAAATGCAGTATAGGTATGGACAACAATCAAGGAGAAGAAAATATTATTCCTTCCATTCTGTAACCATACTAGATAAATGTTTTTTTAGCTAATAATTATTTTACCTTATATGGGGTTTAAAGATAAATGCAAATGAAAACGTGTGAAGCTTTTGTTATCTGACCTCGCATTAGGCTAACCACTATTAATTAGGAATCGCTATCTCTACAAATCCCTACTCTCCTCATAGTCATACAATAGAGAGAAAGAGAATACCATTAGTCATAAAAAACCCTTGCGTAAATCTCGCTCAGATTTTATTGTTTCCATAAGCAAAATTTAAAGAAGACGAATCTCACTTTCGAATTTCAAGAGAGCTAAGCAAAATCATGAAGAGAACAAGAGACGACCACCCTTCTCACTTTCTCCATCAATCCTCCGTTTATGATGATGCTGATGCTGATGATGATTATTCTTCCTCATCGGAATCTGGAGGGTTTCAGCCGCAGCCGCTGTCTCCACAGCCGCAGAAACACTTTTGTGTTATTTGCAGTAAACAGTTCAGCTCCGGTAAGGCTTACGGTGGACATGTGAGAATCCACTCGAGCGAGTACAATAACAAAGGAAAGACAAAGAAGATGAAACTGAAGAAAAGAAAGATTGGTTTGGTGAACAAGGAAAAAGAGAAACAGAAAAAGATAGATCTGATTAGGGCTGACGTTGAAGGTAAGATAAGGTGTTGCCTATGCAGAAAAGAGTTTCAAACAATGCACTCTTTGTTTGGACATATGAGGAGACATCCTGATCGTAACTGGAAAGGGATACGACCTCCTCCACCGGAAAAGCTCAATCTTAGCTTTTTGGATGATGAGGATGAGGACGATGATGATGAGGTAATGAGTAGATCCATAATGATGAGTGGTGTAACAGTGGATGTTCAGAAAGCTGCTTGCTGTCTAATGATGCTCAATTGCGATACGAGGAAAGCAGCCATGGGAACAGGAAACTCCAAGGTAAGAACTCCGAGAGATGGCGAAATGGATGTTGAAGGTTCAACTGTAGATATGAAGGTAAAGATGGAAATCGAGGTGAATGTGAACAATCCTCAATCTGAAGCTAAGAAAAGTTCCTTAGGGTTTGATCTCAATCAGCCTTGTCATGATTCATACTAAGCTAGCTAGTCTGCTTTGCAATTTCGATTTCAAAGGAGTATCTTTGCTCAATGAAATTACATATCTATCTATATCCATTGTGTTATCTACTACCTAGGCTTTGTATATAATGAAATCCTTTTGTGATTCACAGATTAGTTGCACCTTTTCTTATTGTCAGTTTTCTCTTGAATATTTCTTAATGTTTTGTCTCGGCAGAATATTATGTATTGCTTTATCTACTGCATATTTTCATAAGGATTGAGCTTTCAAGTTGTTAATCGAGTTGTTCATATGAATAATACATAGTTATTAGCATCCATATGTATCTCAACTTACAAATGTATAAATGTATCAATATGATATAATTGGGCACAAACCAAGCCCACAAAGATCTTCACGTCACAAAAGCTAGCTAACCAGTTTGGTCGCCTCTAGATCTTTACAAGGCAATCACTAGGTATACCTAGTGACGTTCTGTAACTGCACCCAAGATCCAAACTAAATACTAACAAAAATATCTTACTGTGTACCTAATCCAAACTCTAAAAATATATTAACAGGTCATCTAAAGCGGTATTTCAAGTAGTCCCCTGACCAATCGGATAGACGGGATATCTTAAGGTATCTTGATCCTTTTCTAACAGATCTATGTTTTTACTATCTTTAATTAGATCTGGTTCTTGGATATCCTTGTAATATCCTAGTGTCGAATATCTTTCTTAAAATTATAATTCGGCAAATATCTGGATTTGGATTCTAAAATAAATTAAAATATAAAAAATATTAACAGTAATTTAAAATAAAAGTAAATATAATGTTTTTTAATTATTTCTATGTATATAATTAAAAATAGATAAATTTATTAGAAAATTTAATATATATATATATATAAATTCATTAGAAAATTTAATATATATAAATTTATTAGAAAATTTAATAGATATAAATTTATTACAAAATTCATATATTTTTATATATATTATTATTGAAATGAAAATATATTAAATAAAACAGTATTTGCATCTCCTACAAAATATCTCTCCATAATTAGGGATATACTTATACAGTATAACCTCTTTAAATAAATACTTTATAAATTAATATACATTAATTTTTTATAATATAATTTTATAATTTCAAATTGAGTTTTTTTTTTGTTCAAATATTATATAGATAAATTAATAATTTCTATAAATTAATTAAAAATATAATTTTGATGGAGTCCCAATAGTATTAATTGATAGAGGTTTCACTTACTCTATTTCACATTGTTCATAAAAATATTAATGACATTATCACCCCTATTTCTTATCTATTACTACATTGAAACCAAGATAGTTCATATCTTCTGTATCTATTATAATTTTTTCTTTTTAATCTTGAGTTTTCAGGAATATTAAAGTTTTAAAATAAAAAAAATCTGATTATTTTTCAAGTATATAAAAATCTATTTCCTTCTCCCAAATCTTTGAGAAGCCATGCTAATCCATTTTTCCAGCCTAGCATGAAACTCGAGGTTCATCTTTTCTTCATCAAGTCCAAAGATACCTTTTTATATGGCTAGTGATGATTCACCCACCATATTAGTCACCCTCATCTCTCCAGCACTGCTCATTTTATATGGAAGACGGTGGCATCTAATCAAGAGAAAAAAAAGATAAAATTTCTCACGGTTTAAATGGTTTATTCTCTGTAATATACAATATTTGTTTGTGTATTGAATTGTATATAGAAGTATTTCATTGTGTTGTGAATTCTGTATATAATGAAAAGAAGAAAGGGGGAAGATAATCTGTATTGATGACTAAATCTTGTATTTGGGAATTCAGATTCAAATCAACGCCTATTTAGTTCTGTTTTACATATATTTAGAGAAAATCAATACAATACTAAAAGAGGATATCCTCAACATTCAGCATGTCCACGTTAGCAATTATATTCGACCAATGAAAATATTTTGTTTCACCACGTCATTGAGTGTTATGGGTTTTGAGCTTTTTTTGTTTGACGGGTATTCTTTGTTGCTTTCATGCGTGGCCCAGCAAGCCCAGTTTATCCTAAGCATCATCACCTTTCCTCACCCCCTTTCTCATTAATCCTAATTTTGTGTCCAGGAATCGTAAATCCTTTCTTCTCCCTCTTCTTCGATTATGTTTCACGATTTTGATCTAAGATTAATCATTCACTGTCCATTTTCATAGTCTCCTCTTTGCTTTTTTTTATAGCAGATTCTTTGTATCTCTTTGGCTTACTGGTTTGTAGTATGCAGTTATGTCTACATAATAGTCTTTTCTAACATCCTCTCAGCGAGAATTGCTCTTAAATTCTTACATAATATCTCTCGTTCTGCTTTTAAAACACATGTAGATTGATGAGAGTCATCAATGATTTTCAGTTCTTAGCAATGTTGTTTCCTTCTGATTTTTGAACATATGTAGATTGGTATTGACTTGATTTGATGCCACACTGATTTTTGTGTTTTCTTTTCTTCTTATGTCTGTAAAAGTGATTACTCAATGCAACTGAATGCATCGAGGATCAAAAATCTTCAAGCACAAGAAGACTTTGGCAATGCAGTGAAAGAAGAGGCTGCAAAGCAACTCCTCAAAGTCAACGAACATGGCTTCTTCAACCATCATCACCATCAGTATAAACATCTCTTGAAATACCTCATTGTTCAGGTCTGTTTCAGCTGAAAACAATCTCAATCCCATAATTTTAGTCTCTAAACTGTTATGCTTTTCTCTAAAATTGGTTTTGATTATGAAATTTGTAGTGTTTGCTTAGACTTAAAGAGCCGTCGGTGTTGCTGCGTTGTCGCAAGAAAACCTTCACATTGTGGAGTCTATGTTGGACGATGCAACTGAAGAATACTGCGAGAAAGCATAGGTTCATGCTCCTGAGATCATTGTTGACAAGGACATTTTCCTTCCTCATGCTCCTTCAGATGATGATCCTCATGCCCCTTACTGCTAACTTTCTTGATACCAAAATCACTTGCGAACTATAAAAGAACTAAACTATAATATATATACCACTTGTGTTGTGATGTATAAACAGTGCTGGAGGAGTGGTGCTGGCTTCTCGTGATGGGAAAATTGTGTGTGAAAACACTCTTGATGCGAGGTAGGAGGTTGCTTTCCGCATGAAACTTCCTGAGGTTAGACCAATACCATTATTAGAACTTGTGAACACAAGTTTTCATATTTTCTAAGCTTTGAGGTTTTTTTTTCTAAAAAAGATATTTATATTGAATGTCTGTAGATCCGAAGGTCGCTCTTTGGAAGGGTTGGTGCAGCTTGATGGGTGAGTGAGTCAGGACTAAAACGTCCCTTGTGCATCACGTTTGGCTCGCCTCTAATAGGAGACGGTGATCTGCAACAGATTCTTGAGAACTCCTTGAGGAACTAATGTTTCCTTCACATGGCTGACGCTGCACAAACTCCCATTTAGGAAGGTTTAAAGCCTTTTGGAAAGTTCTTGATTTGGTGTTGCTATATTTGGTGAAAAAATATTTGTTACAGCTGTTGCTAGTTAATTTATCATAAATAAACACATTTAATTTGTGTAAAAGTTTGAGTTCTGTGTACGGAAGGTTCTTCATAAATGTTGATGTAGATGTTACAGATTTTGACCTCTACAAATACTGAGGTTTTGTTTCCTAACCTGCTTGCTTTTACTTATTGATGCTTTCTTTCTCCTGTATGTGTGGTTCATAATGTTTTTCCTGCAATTTTTTTTTTGTATTTGTCTAAAAGAGGCAACATTAGCTTTTTTCAGACACCAAATTAATTAGGAAGCTCGCAAAACCTTCTCTTCCACAGTCCAATGAAAAAACCAAAGCTCTCCAAATAACACATGAAGTCCAATCATGGCATCAAAAGATCTACATGTATCACTTCTATCTTTCTAGAAATATTTTAGTCATTCGGATTTGTTTCAGTTTGTATAATATAATATGATATTGATTCTTGATTTGTTTCTAGCTTTGAAATTTAAGTTCAAGATCATGTTGTGATATTGATTCATGATTTCTTCTGGCCTTGAAATTTAAGTTCAAGATCATGTTTTTTTTTTGTCGACTCCAGATCCACATTATTTGTTCTTTTACACATTTCTGATACTCCACCTTATAGCATAAGACACTACAAGAAAACACGTCCTTAACGACTACAGAATTGGTAGTTCATTAGTCGTATTATGACCATTACGAACAAATAACATCGAAAAGCGATTAGTCGTTATACGCTGGTCGTAACTCACTATTAGACGCACATTGGTCGTAATGTTACGACTACAGAGATTGGTCGTACATTAGTCGTAATATTACGACTAAGGGGGTGGTCGTAAATTAAACGGAGAGCGCGTAGTCATAATAGTGACGTAAAACAGTTAGTCGAACATTAGTCGTTACACGATTGGTCGTAAACGTGAGGTAAAATATTTGTAGTTAATTGGTCGTAAATTCACAACTAAAGAACATCGGCTCTTGAGGTAAATTAGTCTTACATTGACGACTAGCAAACATCGACAGTGGATGTTCATTAGTCGTAAACTAGAGACTAATTTATGAGAAAACGAAATTTATATTATTTATTTTTATTTTATTTTTATTTAAAACAATTAAAATAAAAATATTTTCATTTTTTTAAAAACAAATTTGTTTTAAAATTTGATAAATTGAAAAGAAAATATATCTAATCATATTTCATAAACATAAGATCCATAATATAAAAATATTCAAAATACAAATTAATATTAAAACTAAAAAAACTAAGTATTAAGGTTTATTTCGTCCAAGATATCGAAAGTATGTTGGGCCGCACGTCGCTCTAAATCCACCTGCTCTTCTGGAGTGGGGTCAGTGTTAAAGCTCGGACGTAGAGCCTGTCATACAGTGGCAACGGTCGGGTTTGGGTTTGAATTATCCATCATCAGATCGAGCTTATTGCCATAGCCTTAAATTTTTCTTTGTGCTAGTCATGACTCGGTCGGCAGCGGTCAAATCCCTCTAGAGAGAGGAATCTTCTTCCATTCTTGCAGCGTGTTCGGCACTCGCCCTCGGGACATCGTTGACAATCTCGATCCCAACTATACGTTCCCTTTTCTTCGGGACAACCTTCAAATGATGAATGAATATTAATTAGTTAGTACATATGTGAAAAATTAATTAAAAAAAAAACTAAAAATTTATATAAACAAAAGATCAAATATTTTACCTGCTCAAAACTTTTGTCTTGCTCGGTGGTGGAAAGCTGGACCGGTGGACCTTCCGGATTTTGTTGCGACAGCTGAGTCTAGACGTCCTCGATCCGAGACTCTACTTCGTTGTAGATCTTCTCTGCTTGAGGATGCACAAAGGTGCCATCAGAATGCTGATGTGTTATCTTGTAAAGTCGGACGAGAGATGGTGATGCTCCTTCTTTGGCAGCTTATATTAAAAAATCAAATTAATTAAATTTGTGCATTCAATAATTTAATAAGAATTAAAAAAGATCAAAGACTTACGATTTGTAGTGCCCTCCCAGCATGTGAAGTCTGTCCGAAAGTATGAGGTACTGGCGGGTTACCATCAGCATCAAGGGTCATCTGGACAGCAGAGTACTTGGTAGACTTCTATACTGACTCATGCTTCATCCAAAAAGCCTTCAAGTCATTCCAAACCTCATTGCTGAGGTAGGTTTCTTTTGCGTCATCTTGTTTTACCCTCCACTTCTCCTACCAATCACCAACAATGTTCTTTAGAAGAGCCATCGCCTTTTTGTAGAACCCTGCCTTGACCCCTTCATTGACACCGATAGACCAAATTCATTTGTGCTACAAAAAAATTATGAATAAAAACCTATAATTATAACTAATCAAATTATTATTTTTTAATTAATAATAAATAAAATTATATTTAAAAATAACCGCGAAACATTTGAACCAAGTAACGCAAACATGGTCCGGTGTAAAAGACCAGTTCGGATGCGCTTCCCGGAAGTTTGCCCTGATGATATCCCCAACGCTCTGTCCCAAAACATTGTCCGTCGCAAAAATATAAAATTTGAAAGAATATATTTATATCAATATATATTAATTAATTATTATATATATAAAATTTAAACTGAATTAATTTATTAAAAATAATTACCAAAACGTGCCAGGTCGTCGATTTGGATCGATGATTCGTAAACCTTCTTGTCCCGGCATCCCGAGAATGTCTTCCACAATATATCTTGCATATGGTGCATTTGGCGGCACCATAAAATCTGGATGAAGAGCTGCAGGAGACAGAGCAGCTACAAGAGCATCTCCAGAAGCCGGAGGATGATGTGGAGGCTGCTGATGAGGCTGCAGTGGAAAATGCTGCTGAGGCTGCTGAGACTGCTGAGGCTCCTGATCATACGGAGGCTGATGATCATACTGATGTTGGTCCGGCACATATGGAAAGTATCCAAGAGGACCACCATATTGCGGATAGTATGGAGCTTCATGAGGGCCGTATGCCCGTGGGGGCACATACTGAACACTAGGACGGCTCTCAGGAACAGTATTGTCTTGGCCGGATTATGTGCCGGTGGAGGTAGAAGCTGATTGGTTCGATGACTGACCGAGAAAGGTACTCCCGTAAGAGTTTCCGGACGCATTAAGGTTCTGAAGTCTCTTTCTACCACTAGCCATAGCAATATCGTCAATCTCAAAATTTATAAACAACATAGATCGTTATAGGCAATTAACATTTATTATATAAAAATATATATGTAGTATAAACATATTCCAATTCCATCAATATCTAAGTCCAACCTAATCTATCTCAATCCTAAACTAATTTCAAACATAATTTAATCACCTAACTAACCACCTAAAACTAAAAAAAAACTTGAGAGAGAAGTTGATGTGTTTTTAGAGAGAAGGAAATGAGCAACTGAAGTGCTTCAACGAGGTCCGCGTACATATAGAGTTTTGGGCTTAGTCGTTAAAAATACCTTGTGATCCAAAGTAGTACGACGTGAAGTGAGATGTTTTCGCATTCAAACTTCCAGCAACTATTGAACCTTCCACCTTTGTCAGATTTTTGGCTTTCCCTTTTAAATGTTTCATGGCTCGCTCGTAAGGATACATCCATCCATTATGAACAGGTCCACGAAGCAGTGCCTCATACGGGAGGTGGATAACAAGATGCTCCATGACATCAAAAAAAGTCGGAGGAAATTTTTTTTTCAAAATTACGCATCAAGATTGGGATATTCTCATCAAGTTCTCTGATTACATCTACATTTAAGGTGTGTCCCCTAAGATCTCTGAAAACGCTCCAATGCCTGCAAAAAATGTACAAGCCAACGTAAATATTTTTTTTAAAGTTCTTTTCAAACAAAAAGTAATAATAACGTTGATTAATATTTAATTATTACCTGCAAGTGCTTCGTGAACATTTTTTGGAAGCAACTCCGCAAATGCAAATTGTAGAAGTCGTTGCATAAACACATGACAGTCATGACTCTTCATCCCTAAAATCTTTTGTCCTTGCTAATCAACACATTTTGATAGATTTGAAACATACCCATCTGAAAACTTCACATCTGATGCCACCCACTTGAACAACGCCGTTTTTGCTGCTGCTGACAAGCTGAAAACGGGAACCAGAATTTTTCCATCGTTTTTAATATGCAGCTCAATCCTAGAACATAATGCAGGCAAATCTAACTTTTAATTCTTGTCATCTTTTTGTCTTCCCAGGGACGTTCAACAAAGTATTGATGATGTTGTCAAAGAAATTCTTCTCTATATGCACCACATCAAGATTGTGGCGCAGAATTAGATCTTTCCAACATGGAAGTTCCCAAAATATACTTTTTTGTGCCAATTATGTTGTGTCTTGTAACCATCAGACATATTTGCAAGAGTATGCCAATTACCCCCTCTAGTGACTGTGTCTAGTCCTCCATAGTAATCAATATATTTTCAATTTCTTCTCCAGATAAATATGGTGGAGCGGTGTCCCGTACAACCCTTTTTGATCGGAACAAT